TGGCAGTGGAAGATGGGACCATGGGATGGACTTATGGGTGTGGGGGAAAGATCTTGAACTTTCAACTGGGTGGAAAACCAGGAAGCTTTCAGATTCGGGTTTCCCCAGATATGCTAACATGGCTCCCCTAATAAATTGGAACTTTGAGGAATCCTTTGCCTTGGACTCTGATTTAATTTTGGATGCTATTTGGAACCCTGACAGAAATTGCATGGATTACAGGTAGTCCTTGACTTACAACAGTTCCATTTAGCGACCAAAATTACAATGTCACCGCAAAAAAAAGTGACTAAGGTCCATTTTTCACACTTAACAACCGTTGCCATGGTCCCATGATCGAAACTCAAACTCTTGGCAACTGACTCACATTTACCACGGTTGCAGGATTCCCGGGGTCAGGGGTTCATCTTTTGCGACCTTCTGGCCAGCATCCTCAAAGCGGGAGCCGGATTCGCTTAACAACCCCGTCACTAACTTAACAACCGCAGGGATTCTCTTAACAATTGTGGCCAGAAAGGTCGTAAAACAGGGCAAACGAACACACGCCTCGCTTAACGACAGGAAACCTGGGCGCCATTGTGGCCGTAAGTCAAGGACTGCCTGCATTCCGCCTTTACAGGAAGGCTGAATCAACCCTGAGCCAGTGAGATTTGAACCGCTGAACTGCAGATATCAGTCAGCTGAAGTGGCCTGCAGTACCGCACCCTAACCACTGCGCCACCTCGGCTCAGAAGGAAACCAGAACCGGCGGTTAAAACCGGGGCGACTCCAGAGCGAACGGACCAAATGCAGAAATTGGGACCCCGGAGTGAAATGGGGAAGAGAGTGGAAGGGGAGATGTTGGTTTGCAGCAGGTCAAGTGCACGGCACAAATTAAAAAATAGAAGAGGGGGGATTTCTTGTTTCCAAACTCAGCAGCCTCTCAGCACCCTCTTTCTCTGGGGAAGGCGGAGGGAGGGAGGGGGGGTCAAAGTTGCACTTGTGTGTGGGGAGGGAGGGGCGAGTAGAGAGGGGATGGGGTGGTGGTGGGATCTCCGGCCGCCTTCATTCCAGTTCCGATTCCCGGTGGCCGTCTTCTTCCCCGTCGTCCAGGCACCCGTTCATCTTCAGGCCGTCCTTCTCGCCCATGGACTGCAAGTCGTACTCCTCATCCAGGAAGTCCAGGGAGTTGTTGCTAGGCAGGCCCCTGAGTGTGAATTTGTGCGAGACTTTGGTCCAGTGCTCCCTGTTGCTGGCCACCCTCTCGTAGAGCTCCGACGATTTGGGGAAGAGCTCCTGGAGCAGCCTGGAAGGGAAGACCGGAACAAGGGATTGGTAACATGAAATGAAATAGGTCAATCGTGATCATGGCATGTAACTAATTAAGATGGGATCTGCCACTGTGAGAGATACTATACAATAGCAGAGTTGGAAGGGACCTTGGAGGTCTTCTAGTCCAACCCCCTGCCTAGGCAGGAAACCCTACACCACTTCAGACAAATGGCTCTCNCCTCCTTCTCGTCTTCCTTCTTCCCTCCCTTCCTCGTTTCCTTCCTCCCCCCTCCCCCTTCTTCTCTCCTTGCCTCCTTTCTTACCTCCTTTTCTTTCTTCTCATCTTCCTGTCTTCCTTCTTCCCTCCCTCTCCCCTCCCTCCCTTCCTCCTTCCTGTCCTTCCTTCTTCTCTCCTTGTTTCCTTTCTTACCTCCTTCTCTTTCTTCTCCTTCCTTCTTCCCTCCCTTCCTCCTTTCCTTCCTCCCTCCCTCTTCTTCTCTCCTTGCCTCCTTTCTTACCTCCTTCTTTTTACACGTCTTCCTGTCTTCCTTCTTCCCTCCCTCCTCCTCCCCCTTCCTCCCTCCCTCCCTTCCTCCCCCTTCTTTCTTCTCTCATTTCCTTTCTTACCTCCTTCTCTTTCTTCTCATCTTCCTTCTTCCCTCCCTTCCTCCTTTCCTCCCTCCCTCCCCCTTCTTCTCTCCTTGCTTCCTTTCTTACCTCCTTCTCTTTACTCATCTTCCTGTCTTCCTTCTTCCCTCCCTCCTTCTCCCCCTTCCTCCCTCCCTTCCTCCCCCTTCTTTCTTCTCTCCTTGCCTCCTTTCCTACCTCCTTCTCTTTCTTCTCGTCTTCATGTCTTCCTTCTTCCCTCCCTCCCTCCCTCTTCTGCCTTCCCTTCCCCTCAACATAACAACCTCTGCCCTTCTCGTCCATCGGCCTGTTCTCCCAATTGGGCCACCAATTGCCCACGGAAGCCCACCTTCTCACAGTAGAGGGCCTTCTCTGCCATCGATGCTCATGGTAGGCCTGGGAGTTATCTAAAGGATTCAAATTCACGGGGCAGACTGCCTTGGTCTGGCTGGAAGGGGCCAGAGGTTGAGGCCCAGAGGTTTTATCCATTCCTCTCCTTGTAGGCCTTGGTGATGTCCTTCTGGAATGCGTGTAGGGCTTGGAGGTCCACCTTATAGAGCATGGGTCCCCAAGCTTGTCAACTTTAAGACCTGTGGACTTCAACTCCCAGAATTCTCCAGCCAGCACAGGTCTTAAAGTTGACAAGCTTGAAGATCTCTGCTGTAGACCTTTGATAAGATGGTGGTGATGGAGGAAGAGGATGGGCTGGTCCAATGGGGGCTCTTTACTTTGTGAGAAGTCTTG